GTCACTAAGCATAAGCAATATGGTCATGTGGCATTTTACTTTATAACTACATCGCTTAGTGATGGAAATTCTGGTCCCAATAGTGGTCCTAAGTCAAGGACTACCTGTATATGGAAGCCTGTTATTAAAAATATCGCTATTCAAATGCAAAGACCCCATACTCCAAATCATTGTTCCTTAATTGATACGAAAGAGCAAATTATGGTTTACAAAAACTAGGGGAGATGAAATTGAAATACTCAGAGTAAGAAGTAAGAGGAAGTGTATGGTTGTTTTCCAAGTGGCAAACTAGAGCTGAATCATAAAGTGAAAAATTACTCTAATTAAGCTCTCTCTCTCTGTGTGTGTTTGTATGAGTGTGTATATGAAGTAACATTTACATTTTATGCATCTTTACTTTAGTAACCAAAGAAAATTAATCAGAAATGAACAAAGGCTAGATAATCACATTTTATAATGTATCAAAGACTAAATTACAATATACATAAAGAAAATGGACTATGATCTATGAAATGTTGACAGTTCATATAGTAGCCTCAGGAAAGACTTGTTCAAAATGTTAAAGAAAGTGAAGATTTCTCTCTACACACACACACACACACACACACACACATACACGTCATAATTAAGTTTTGAAATTAATAGTAGCTAGTTGTAGTACAGCAACATAAGTAAATAGCACTTCAAAAAATAATTTTATTTCTCTACATTTGTTAGAAGTCTGAGATTGTTAAGAGTAATCAAAGTGAAAATATATTAATAAAAAAAATCAAATAAAATCATAAGAAAATATATGGGCAACTCTAGTTATATTCCTGCATTTTAATTTAAAATCTCCATTTATGCTACTGCATGTAAATTAGTATAACTTTCCATTTTTTAAAATTTCTGGCAATAAGTAGACTCTGAGCATGAGGATGTCTGAGAAACACATGAGATTAACGTTAATCTTAAACAATATTCTTTTTATAAAAAATGAATTGTCCAAATCTAAAACCTGCTATGAATAGTATAGCTTTTTTTACTTGATACTATAATATTATTCATATTTTATCATCTCAATGCACTCAGATAAACAAAACTGTGCTAAATCCACTTCCAAAATGCTCAGTCCAAAGATTTTATTTACAGTTTCAATTTACTGCCCATGCTCTGAATTAAAGCTTTTGGAGTTAATAAATATTTTAATAATTTTGGAAGATTCAATTGCTGGAGTTAAGAATGATCCTTCTATATCTTTCTACATACAGCCATTTTTTTTAGTGCTACAACAAATATTGTCAAGAACATCTACAATATGACTCCAAAATGGCAGTCACTGTGTGTAATAGAATGATGTATTTTTGCAGCATTCAAACAGCTCTTTTTTTTAAAAAAAAGTGTAAATATGAAAAATAAATTGCATGTTCATTGCTTCTGTTATTACTGTGAGACCTGTGTTTGAGAAAGTTATACAGGTACCTATTTAATATAGTCTGCACTGTGAGTAGGGATAGCAAAATAACTTTTTTTTAATAGATAAAGGCTAAAGTTTGCCCTGCCCAGTCATTTCAGACTCTAGAAGGTGATGCTAATCTCCATTTCTTAGCCAAGGGAGTCAGCATTGTCCAAAGACATTTCCATGGTCATTTGGCCACCATGACTATATGCCGAGGCGCATGGAACATTGTTAGCTAATTAAAACCCTGTTGCATAATTATTTGTGACTATTTACGCTTACTATCCAGTTAAACACATATCAAGATACTTATCTTCATACTTTCAATTTTAAAATAAATTAAAAAATACCATGATTGGCTTCTTTACCAGATTAATCTATCCTTATCCATTAAAATGACTTTTTAATGGATAAGGATATTTGTGTAGGCATATTTGCATTTGCAGCCATATTGCATAATAACTGAAATGTACTTCTGGCAAGGCAACTTTCAAAATGATAGAATTCTAGTTTTTTAAGAAAGAAAGGTATATAAATGTGTATATCTGTGCATTACGAATCTATACTGTATTTTATCAGAATCTATACAGAGGAACAGTTAATATATTTAAGCATGCAATATTTTAAAGTATGGCATCACTTACATAGTATTTCTCCCAGTGTGTTTGCTAAGTAGGAAAAACATCCTTTCTTAAAATGAATGTAAGCATAACAAATCTAACAAAGCATAATTTATACATCTATAGATTCTTAACCACAAACCACTCAAAAATAAACAACTGAAAACTTTTATATTGGTAATGAGGCAACAGAAGTTTTTGGTTTAATTGTCCTCTTGGAAAAGGTATTTCAAATAGTTTACAGTGAAGCATTAATATTTAGATGTTATGAAATTATAGAGCTTTAAGAGGTCATTTGTGTATATTTAAAATATAATTGCATTTAAATTTGTTTAAATTTGCTGTAGAGGGATGTCTTCAATTTATTACGGCAGCTTTTGAAGTTCTACATAACTAGATTATGAGCTGTTTCTAATATTTCATATTATGATGTTTTTCTTAAAAGTAATCTCTCGCTATTGGATTTTGTAACGCTCTATTTCTATATCACAAATTTTTGCTCCATTAAATAGAAGTATTAAGATTAATTTATTAAAATATAATTAATTAACTTAAGATAAGGTAGTCCTCAACTAATGACCAGGTGTTTATTGACCATTCAAAATTATGATGGACCTCCCTAGAGCTACTTGTGATCTGTTTTCAAAGTTATGATGGTTGCATCCCTCACGGTCACATTAGTGCATTTTGAATGCATGGCAACTTACTGCACTGACTTACAACTGCAAATCTGGGCTCAATTCAATTCATAAGTCAAGGACTACCTGTGCAGTGAATGCCTATTTCCTACACTAAAATAAACAGCAACATGTTCATTGAATATAATAATATAGAATGTCCCAAGATTGCAAATATTCTCAAAAGTTTAAATGTGACAAAAAAAATAGCACCAATAGTTCAGGCCAACTTCCTAATCTACCTTCAAATGTGTTGGCTATATCTTCTATAAACATCTGGTTAAGAATAATGGCAGTTATAGTTCTAACATATTTGTTGTACACCCAATTAAGGAATGTTACTGATGGATTTGATGCATTTTTAACTAATTTATGTTTGGATGAAATATAATTATTAGGCAAAACTGGCAGGAGACAAGTAACTACCACTATGTCAGCAAGACTAACTTTTATTGTATTTCTCAAAACTATCTTTTCTACCTTCTCGTTTCTGCTGTTAGGTTCTTCCTGCAACCTAAGAAAATTTTGCCTAGTAGATTCCTCTAATTCAATTTTTCCAAAACTGGCTCCTTCTAGGTGTCCTGGCACATTTTCAATCAGTCCCATAAAGCAGCAGTTCCCAACTTTTCTGGCTTTGCGGACTGACGGGGGGAGGGGATAGTTCCGTGCAAGCAGAGTGCAAGTATGCGCACTTCCATCTGTGCAAGTCGTGGGCACGCATGCTGCTTGCACAAATGGAGCTGTGCATGCATGCTCACTGCTCGCCTGCTGCTCGTGCTTCCGCAGTCCTGTTCCAAATCGGCTGTGGCAGTATCATACAGCATATAAATTTGATTGGTCAAATGAGATGATGGGAGCTGTATTCCAATATATAAATATTTTGTCTGTGTAGCTTTCTCCTTCCTAAAATATTGGATTTTTGATGGATTATAATATTTCCTTTAGCCTGCAGACACAATATACTTTACATTTATGTGGCACTTTTACTGTTATTATTCATGCAAAAAGGTACCGGTATGTTTTTCCAAGCCAGTAGATATCTAAACTTGTATTGGGTAGAGCCCTTATTAGTTCTTTTTCTAATATCACTATATCTGTATATGTGTACTTGTGTGTGTACATATGCACACATATACACATATACATAAATCAGGGTCCATAAGTTAATCACAATACATTTCATTAATGTGTTCTGTGTACCATAAGTTAGAGTCCATAAGTTAATCACAGTGCATTTTATTAATATTTTTCCAGAAAAATATTGTTGTATTTAGGAATACTCAAAGGTCATCAAATAAGCAAGGAAGTGTTTAGAAGAAAATGGCAACCAATTGGAACATTTAATATAATTTATATAATAAATTATGGGGATCTAACTTTTGGTATATCCTGTGTATATGTGTTTTCATGATGGAATCTATATGCTGAAAATAAGTCCCACTAAAATGGACCTCTTTCTGAGGACAAGCCTTATTATTCCTTATTTCCAATATTCCTTATTATTTCCACTATCCCAGAAAATATGCAAATTATTTAATTAAAATGAATATATATACATGCCTTTAAACAAAGTTGGTACTTTAAGTGGGTTATGACTAGAGTGTAACATCACATTTCCAAGAAAATTATTTGCATTTCTTCTATTTTTCTTTTGCTTTTTCATGGAGAATCTGGTTTGTTGATCAAAATAATTTTAATAGTACTAGTTAGCATTTGCAGTATATGATCACATTAAATATTCAGCTTTTTCACTGGATGCATTCACTATTTTGATTTTTCTTATTATTATTATTCCTCAATTTTAGCTCTGGCTCTTTAATCAATCTGAGCTTATTTTTAATATTAAAAATCCTGTCATATCATTGAATGTTTTCACCAGATCTTTTTATGAAACCATCAGAATTCATTGTCCAGATTTTTTTTTAAAAAAAATTTCAATTATCTTGCCTAGATGTGTTTGTTAGCTCCTGAAATATTATTCAAGCCTTATTCTACAACCTAATTATCATTATTGGTTTTGCTTTATTTTAGACATTTTTACATTTTTGGCTATTATGCAATATTTAATGAATTGATGTAATGAATATGAAATAGCAACAATACAGTAGATGGATAGAACTACTCCTTTGTTCCGTTATCTTTGTTGTAAAATTGGTGTGTGTGATCTAACAGCACAGGCAGAAACAATTTCCCAGAAAGCAATAACATTCAGCCATGAGCAGGCAGTTAATTTTAAGACTGAGAAAAAAGCAAGTAATTCATTACCTCACATGAAGAAGATTGCGTACGATAACTTGGCACAATCTTGAAGGTGATGCTGCCTCTCATTTCTCTCTGGTGAAAGTAAAGTATTTGTTGTTTCACAAAACTCAAAATAATTAAGTGGAACACTCAAAACCATCTAATATTTTAACAAAACCATAAAGCCTATGGGTTTATTTCCAAAATTTAGTCACCAGATATCAACAGGGATCTAAATACACTAAAAAAAAAAGTTCTGTATGAACCAAGCTGAAGTACTTGTATAATAAGATTAGTATTTTAGAACATATATTTGGTAGTAGCAAGCTGGTTTTTTGTCTTTGAGGTTTTATCATGTTCCCTCTAATTTGTAGATACTTCAGCAACAAATACATTTAGCATTTTTAAATATAGTTGTTAACTACATGACACTTATTAAACATACTATATATAAGTCATTTGCTAAACTAAAGTACAAGCTTGATAATGAAATGGCATAAATAGTAAACTAAAATTTCCAACAAATTATCTTTTTTAAACAGAAACAAAACTACTGAAGACTATTTTTTTAATTCACATAGCAATTCAACAAAACTTGCTGAAAGCAATCCATTATTCCTTTTGTGAAAAAAAGGTCAAATCAATCTGGATTCTAAGAATGTGATTATTTTATAAACAAATAAATGCATGTAGGAAAAACATAACAAGGATAATTAAATCAGACAAAAATGAAAGCTGCTTAACAGAATGCTCTGAAACTACTTTCCTTCCTGTTCCTTGGTATTACAATGTGGAGTATGTTCTAGAATGTTATAAATGAAAATAGAACTCCTGTACTCAACAAAATGTAAAGACTAATCTATGTAAAAAATAAACTCAACAAATATTAACCCAGATTCTACAATTGTAATCTAATTAAATAGTAAAGTGTTATTAAATATTTGTCAAACTTTACTCCTTTGTTAATGAACACTGATCGACTCTACTGACATAATCAGTTACTATTTTTATTCCTTTTTTTCAAAATATTATTTGGAGTTCATGCCAATTTAAAACAAGAGACCGGACCTGGTTTCTGGTTTATAAAAAAAAAGACATACAAAGGAAGAAGAGTTGGAACAAAAAAAGAGAAAAGAAGCATCAATTTTCCAGAATATTTCTTTACGTAGGCTTAAATTTAGTTTAATTTGGACTAATACTGTATTATGTTAGTATTGCTTTTATAATGTTCTGGCTGCTGATGGAATAAGAATGTGCTAAACATTAACTCCTTTCGGGGAAAATCTGGGCATACTGTTCACAGCCAAACACAGTAACGGGTTCAAAGGAAATATTAAGGCTGTTTTTACCAAATTCCTGCTGGTGAGAACATGGGGCTGCCCTTGAAGAGTATCCAGAAGCTTCAACTGGTACAGAATGCAGGAATGTGGGCAATTTTGTGCAATAGAGCAGTATTTTATAACTCTGCTCTGTGAGCTGTATTGGTTGTCACTTTACTAATTTAAGGTGCTAGTTTTAACCTTTAAAGCCTTTCATGGAATGGGACTGGGCTATTTGAGGGACAGCCTCCTCCCAGTTATTTTAGCCTGCCCCAATAAATCAGGAGAAGTCATGCTGTGGTTACCAAAAGTTAAAGATCTGGCAGGTCTCAAGAAACAAGATTTCTTTGCCACGATGCTCTCTTTATGGAATATTCCTCCCCCCCAAATTTTTTATTAGCTCCACCCATTTGATATTATGGAAGGCCCTCAAGACCAGGCTATGTCATCAGGCCTGGTAGTTCCAGGGAACTGGAAATATCTTAGATGGGTCCACTGATGAGGTGCCACTTTTATATTCTCTTTGCCTAGCAGTTTATAAATTTGTTTTTATGTTATTTATTTCTTAATGTAGGTTTTTTACATTTTTTAATATATGTCATTTTTATATTTGTGGCTTTTACCCAATTGTGTGATTTTGGTTAGAAAAGTGGTAATACAAATTTGATAAATACATCAGCTAAAATGGGACTATGAGATAAAACTATGAACTAGTGACATATTACTGCTAATGTTGAGTCACACATCTCTAGAACACTGGTTTATCTTTTAATATAAATGTTGCCAACATCAGGTTTATTATGTTGCTGATATTTTTCAGAGGTATAAAATGGAGTCTTTTAAAAAAGTTATATCACAGTTGTTAATTTTTAACTCAGCATGAGTATAATACAAACCATATTCATACATTGTCCATTTTGTTCTATTTGAAAAGTTAAATAAAACAAAAAAGAAGAGGACCAAAGCTACAGAGTTTCTTACTATTTGAGAAAGGTTTGCAGAAAAACAAGCAATCTGAAAAAACAAGTTCCAAGCATTATTAATTAATGCTAGAGGGTATGCATAGCTGTATTTTGAGTAATATTTTGAACTGCAGTGTTTTAGAGTTTCATATTAACTCATATTAAAAGTAAAATGAATCAGATAAAAACTTTTTACATGCTTACAAGCATTTTTTGAAGTTGTTCCACTGTTTGATTTGCCACACTAATTCCATTTATTTCCCGAATTTCATCCCCTACATGAAGTGTACCTACAGAAACAGTAAAACAAAATGCATTGAATCAAACTATTCTATTATTTTCCACATATCATTTTATATGCATAATTAGATATTGTAAGCAATTAGAATTTCCTCAAACTATGTGGATAAAAATCTTACAAACTTAAAAAATTACGAGAAGTCTAGCTACATAATCACGAACATTTTCTGCTATATTCAATAGGAATATTCCCACTTAATTTTGAATAAAATTGTAGCTCTAATAAATAGAATCCACTCTTTTAACATGGAAAAGCAAGTATAGCAAATAGAGATGAGAACAGAGGTCTCTTATTTATTTACAATTTTATCATCTTTTGTAGACTACTATTTTCCAAAATGGCTCATATCTATATTACAAAGACAGTTTCAGCCAGTGTGTGTGTGTGTGTGTGTGTGTGTGTGTATAATATCTTGATACTATCAGAAAAAAGTGGTAACATTTAACAGGTTTTTATTTCTTTTAAACTTTGACCAACAGCTTTTGTTGATAATAACTGGCATTAAATAGGTATTAGGAAAAAGGCAAATAAGTTCTTATCTAGGCAAATAATTGCAAAGAATCGGTGAATCATGAACAAGGTATACTGAGAATAAAGCAAAAATGAAAATACAGACTCCATAAGATATTGTTAATAAATGAAGGGACAGGAAGAAAGATGGGTGGTTTCTTTCTGAAGAAATATTAACTCAGGAATACCTACTCATATTATAAAAATATTTTAAGATCTTGTTAAGAGACACTTATTTCCTCTTTTTAAAAGTAAGAACTGAAAGTATATGGTTAAAAAAAAGTAAAGCACTGAAAATATAATTAGCAAAGTAGGAAAATATACTACCATGTTTTCCCAAAAATAAGACTAGGTCTTTGATTAATTTTTGGTCCAAAACCTGCATTAGGGCTTATTTTCAGATGATGTCTTATTTTTTCATGTACAACAGATATATGAAACACAAGGCCCATGGGCTGGTGGGGCCCATATCTGGCCCGTGGGACTGCCCAGAGATAGGCGGCAGGTGGGTGCCCCCCAGCGCACACACAGGAAGCGAGTGCTCGGGGGCCGACAATATCCGGAAGGCAGCCCGCAGCCTGCTGGCCCCTTGGGCCGCACCCTCTGGAGCTGCGCAGACCACGCAGCACAGGTGAGTGAGTGCTGTGACCATCGTGCCAGCCCTCCAAGCAGCAGGCAGGCAGGAGAGGCATGGGGGAGGCACACGATCCCGCCCACCGGATGCACCATGCCACCGCCTGTCCACTCCATTCCGTCTGTCTTTGCTTGCCTGCGCCCACGACGGGACAGGTGGCCATGCGGTGTGTCCGGTGGGCTGGATCCCGTGCTTACCCCCTGCAGCTCTGCCTCTTTTTTTGGAGAGCCAGCCTGGCGGTCACAGCGCTCAGAATCACCTGTGCTATGCAGGCTGTGCAACCCCAGAGTGCACTGGTCAAGGGGTCAGTGGGCTGTGGCTGCTGCTGGACACTGTTGGCCCTCGTGTGCTCACTGCCTCTTGTGTGTGTGCTGGGGGATGCTCGGCTAGGCTGGTCCAGGTTGGAGTAATGGGGGCTAGTCTCCTGCCATTTCCGGGGAGGCCCCCGCATGCCAGTTATGGGGCAATCGCGGGCCGGATCCGATCCACAGGCCTTGTATTTGACATGTCAGTGCTGTTGTAACTTTGAATGGTCACTAAATGAACTGTTGTAAGTCAAGGACTACCTGTATTTTGAGATTTTTCTGGATCTTGTAAATTAAAGAATATATGCTTTGTGTATGAAGGAATATATTAAAAATAGGACAATATTTGTCAATGGAATTTTTTGTAAAATGAAACGATACATATTATTATAATGATACCTGTTACCAACTACATAAAAATCTGCTTTGATTATGGAATTGCAAGGCTTTTGACAATTTCTCTATTGGAGATAATGCTCTTACTGATGCAGTAGTTCACTTGTTATCTTTTGATAACAAAATATTTTAACCATTATATTTGTAAATTTTTGATTAAAATGTTAACTATGTGGGATAGTGGAAAAAGGTATATATATGAAAACAGTTTTCAGTTCAATGTGCAATAACATAGCTTTTATAGTATAAAGTAAACAAATTTCTTCTTGTTTTTAATCATGACTTTGAAAACCTTTATAGAATAGAATAAAAATAGAAATTTGAGAGATTAGGGCAGAAAGCGGCCATGGTGGTCCCAGTGGTTATCAGCACACTGAGTACCATACCAAAGAAAATCTTGATACCCACCTAGTACTTAGAAAATCTACACACTGACAAAATATTTATCTATCAATCACAACATGTTGCAATGCTTGGATCTGCACATATACTAGGCTGATACATTATGACATCCTAGGTTTTTTTGGAAGAATTTAATGTACATGAAGGCCAACACCAGTTAAAGAACTGGCACCTGTGATTTACAAGTTTTGTGTATATAACAACAACAACAACAACAATAATAATAATAATAATAATAATAATATTTTGTCTGTTAATGCTACAAATAATTATTATACAGATAGCCACTGAGCTTTTTCAATTGTGGAAATTGATGCACCAGTAATCTCTTGATTGCTTCTGGTAATATATGTTCCTTAAAAGCAAATCTAAACTTAATTGAGGATATTCCAAATGTATAACAGTTGATGTTCAAAATTTCATCTTCCATCTTTTCTGCAAACTTGGTAATCATCAAATCACTAACTAAAGAGTGGATTTTAACAGATACCCTCTAATTGTGGATAGCATCATTTCCTCTCTAATATTCTATCTTTTTAAAGTTGTCAAATTAAATACTCGAGCAGAATTGTTCCAAGTTGCCCAGAAAATAAGTTCAGAAGCAAATGAATTTAAATTAAAAGGAAGTAGATTTTAGTAGTTGAACTTTTAAAATTAATGCTTAATGAAAAAGTTGTTCAGCAATGGAAGAGGCCTCAATTAAAATACATACCATAAGTGATCTCAACAAACCAAACAGAGATTTTTAAGGCAAAATCTTGTCACATAATATTTTATTTATTTATTTTAGCAGGTCTACTCAGTGTTCATATCTTCATTCAGTCTTGGTCACTATTCTGGAGTTAAAAAAAACACTGGCTTTGACGATATAAGGTTCCCATATGTACTCTCATAATAAACCTGTACATTTCTTGGAAAATTAATTATTTATACTCTAAATGCCAGGTAACTAGTGATCTATATACTTTAGATGATATTGAGAATCTGTCCATTATAGCAAAACATTATTTGATTTTCTTTCCTTGTTGAACCACTGATACGTGACTTGAGTAATAACAAGACTCGGTGATTCAAAATATTATATTATAGGCAATTAATGATTTTTGACACTAAATATTCAAATGTCATTTAGATTCCATGTCTGAAAATTTGGATAGTATCATATAAAATTTGTGTTGTTCATTAACTTTTATATTTACGTTACCTTGCCTGTGAATCATTCCTCCATGCATAATTCTTGCTACAATGCAATGGTTCAATTCATTCATTTTTAAAGTGATTCCCTAGTAAAAGAAATAAAGTAATTTAGATAGTCACAATAAGATTATTCAAGCATTGATCCAGCTTAAGCATTTTAACATTTGACCATGCAGTAATCAGATCTAACCTGTCTCAATTTACCACTATACCTATTAACATTTTATCTCAACTCACAAATCACATGCCCAGAAATTATATGCATACTTTTTTTTATCATACCTCAAAGAAATACTTTAACTTTTTGCTCTTTAATAAATAACATTGTGAACTGTGGTACAGATATATTTTAAAAAGCTGTAAGTGCTTCCAGAGAAGTTATTCAAACACTAAGTGCCCTATGAATAAGAACATAGATCTTCTTTTGAGAAAGTGCAGGAGAGAAAAATTTCCATTCTGTTGATGAAGGAAATACTATTTAGGAGGAGGTGATATCTGGATATAATACACAGGATACTGAGAAGAAAGCCTTTAAATTTCAAAATTAAAATTATTTATTCATATAATTTGAGTATTATTTCAACCTAATTGAATCAACCTTTTCCACGATAATCTAGATTTATATATATTAAAAGCTTTTTTGGTACAAGCTTTTCTCTGGCTATTAAGATTTTACTTCCAGCATTTTTTAAGTTAATGTTCCTTTCATTTTCCCAAGATAAATTTATAGTATTACAAAAGATAATTCATAAATTTGATATATGACTGGCTATATCTTACATGCTTATAAAATTAAATAACAAAATTTATCTATTTACCATTGGTTCATCTGTATTTTTTTGGAATTGAACCAATCGCACTCTTGTGACATTCTCCATGTCCATGTCTCCATTGATGCTTTCTGGAGAATCTCCATTTAAATACGGAGATGTGGGAGGTGGAGTAACTCTTAATGCTTCATCACTGTAAACTTCATGTGCCACTACATCATGAGTTTGGAGTAAGGCCTACAGAAAGATATAATTTTCATTTTTGGTTATCTTTTGGTCTTAATTAAAGCATAAATTAAAACATCAAGCTATTCAACCTAGTTCAACCCAAACAACATGTGTTATATCACTTTCAGTTTTCCTAACAGTAATGATATCTCAATTATACATGTGACAGGCATTTCCATATATTACTTACTCATGCAATCCTAGTCTAGTTAAGATGCACAGAAAGGAAGTGTCCTTGAACAAAAAATTGCTGATTCTCTGAAAGTCCTTTATTTTACTGAGTTTCATTGTGTGTTAAAAAGGTCTCCAGAAATATGCAAGAGAATCCTTTCTTCCAAATGGATTCCTCACCTATTTTCAGAGCATTCTTTGCTTCTGAAATGTAACAGTTCAAAAGGAAAGTATGCAGTGTCTAAAATCACAATGTCCACTTTGCAGAAGCTAGCATGTTCATATTTATGTATGATAAAATTTCATCAAATATATTTTCAGTATTCAATTCAATTAAAATGTTAGTATTTTCAATACTTACAGTATTCATTTTACTATTTATATTAATGTTTCAGGAGTTAATGTTATTTCTAATTTTGGATTGCAAAATTGTAAAAAATTTCCATGCCACGTCTAGTCATGCAAACAAAGTTCTCCCTTCATTTATGATTCTTCAGAAATATTTACAGACAAAATTGTGGATTTAATATAATATGTTGTTCATTTAGTAAAATTAGCATATACAAACTGGCATGATTCAGAATCAATACAAAAAGGACCTGATTTCCTGTCTGTGAAGGACGACTAAGCAAACTTTATTTTCTACAATTAAAGTTGAGCATATTGATAAAATAGAATAAAACTCTTAGACAAGAAGTCATGTTCCTCTTATTAGACAAAGTATCAGAAGGTGAGTTCACTGAGTAAGAGTAGGCTGTCTTGAAAGGATTGACAAACAACTGTGGGGTAAAATAATTTAAGTAAGAATTGGCATTGCTATATAATGGAATACTATAAGACTGTATCATTAAACTGAAATCATTAAAGAATAAACTATCACTATGATATTCTTAATTAAGATTTTATTTCTAACAAAATTTAGAATCCATAATTGGATGACAGGTTGAGCCATCTAAAATATCTGTGGAAATTCCAGTAAAAGAGAGGCCTGGTTAATGTCAATATCTTTTTGGATTTAAACACTTATTTTTCAAAGTTTATAAAATTACAGCATTTTTGTTTTAACATATTGTCATATTTGATTTACATATTACCTTATTGTTATAGGAAACTGAAGGATGCGTATAAATATTTTAAATAATTTTAAAAACCCATAATATTTATTATGTATTTTTCTATACCCATAATTAATATATTGCTATTTCTATCCATTATCCACTGAAATTAATGGGAAATATCCGTGCCAAAGATATTAGCTTCCTTAAGTCCAGTTCGGTGAACATTGGGACAGAAATAATTTAAATATATGAACGTTCAAAATTCATTCACTAAAATTCAATGAAAGGTTGTATACATTTCTGAGTAATTATCTACCCCTTCCCCAATTCTTATTACTTTCAACTAATAATTTCTTTCGTGAATCTATTTTCCATGGGAAATATTAAAAAATGATATCATAACAATTAGTTACCATGAAATGAGGTTGAGTTAAAATACGTTTAAGTTCTTTTGCATCATTATTTTCTGGGTAACATGAAATTTCTTCCAATACCTGTCAAGCATAAAAGTAGATATATGAATAAACTTCGGTAACAAATAAAACTCATATTTTTGAGTCATGAATTACAATAGACATGTCAAACACAAGGCCCGGGGGCCGGATGCAGCCCGTGAAGTGGTTTCATGTGGCCCGCGAAGCCATCCTGGAAACAGTGAGGGAACGGCCCCCGCTACCTTGGCCCTGGCCGGCTGGGAGCCAATGTACAATTTTGTGGTGGCCATCTATGTTGAAACACATTCAGTCTTAGCTCCACAAGGCCGTCCAGAAACAGCGAGGAACCAGCCCCTGCCGTGTCGGCCCCGCCCCCTGGCTGCATGCTGGGGAGGTGTCACCCTTTGTGAGGAATGAAGAAATGCACCATGCCTTGGCGCTTGCCCCGGTCCCACCCCCTTCTGTCAGAGACCCTCAGATCTGTCCCACTCCTGCCCAGGCCCCCACAGGTACCCTTGACGCGAACGATGTAGAGCTGGCCATGCCCACCCAGTAGGCCACACCCCACTCCATCCACGCCCACCCAGTAGGCCACACCCCTCCTGGCTACCCCTCCCACCCCCGAGGGCAACCACAATGCTGATGCGGCCCTCAATGAAATTGAGTTTGATACCCCTGAATTACAAAGAAAAAAGTCTGAAAGAAGGGATTTATTTTCACTTCCTACATTGGCTTATATTGTAAGGAAGACTTTAATAAAACTTTAATAAGATAATAAAAACAAAGCTACATCCATAAAGATAAATACAGTATATATAAACCAAAAATAGGGCATGCAAATTGAGGCAGTTGTAATTTCATTCAATGATGATTGCAAACGAGAGGTGAGTATAGGGCAGCGATACATGGTAAATAAAAAAAAATCTATGAGTAGGTAGTTGAGGCAAAAGGGAATAAAGTTTGAAAGGGCAAACTAGGTATAAGAGGAAAAAACTCAGGAAATGATAGGGAGAAGGGAAGTTTTTGTTCGTTTGAGTAATCCACTGTGTCTTCACTTGTGAGACTACTGTTACTTTGCAAGAAGTGACAAGAAGTAAAGAAATCAATATAAGTAACAGAGGTGGGAATGATTTCTTTGGTTCTAAGCATCTACTTTGTTAAAAATTATTCCTCTGAGTCAATATTGATTCCTGGCAACTATCTAGATTAGTCCCTGCAGTTTACTGGGCAAGGCTATTGTCTCTCTCCTACTGTTGAAACGGAATATTAACCAGTTGCCAAGCATCCAAATTTTGATCATATGACCATGGGGGTGCTGCAATGGTTTTAAGTGTGAAAAACAGTCATGAATCACTTTTTAAAATAATGTAACTTTGAATGGTCACTAAATGAACTATTGTAAGTCATGGACTATCTGTAACAGGAGGCTATAGGTTCAGTGATGCTCAAGAAATGGATGGTTAGAAATTTTTGCAAAGAATCTTGGAAAATTAGACACGAGTATTTGTTTATCTGTTCAATTTGTTTCCTGTCTTTTATCTGGGAGATATTCAGATAATTTAAAAAACAATGAAACATAAAAATGTTAAGTTTGTTGAAACAGTGAAACTGTTAAATGATTTAATCTTCTAAAAGAAAAAAAATAGTGGCTTACTGCAACTACACAGACATATATACATACATACATTTCATTTACAAATTTAAACTATTATTAAATTTATTAAATTATTACATTTAAACTATTTCTAAAATTACCTCTTTGGCTCTCTGTACAGCATCACTTGGTGGATTCCTGATTTGTGGTGAAGATTTTGTATTAATTTTGTCATAGAGCTGTAACAAAAATACACAACATAATATGAATATATTAAATAATTTTACCAGCTTATTTTATAAACGATTTCTGAAAATTTCACTTAAAACATCAACAACTGCTATGTTGTAAATCTAATTTTCTATAGATAACTGTAGAAAATATAACCATTTCATTTTTTTTAGATATTTAGCAACTTCTTGCCTGCTCATGATACTTCATATAAAGACACATCAGAAATAAGCAATGCTATTTAATCATATTTTCTTGCCAATAGCAATTTGTAATAATTTAAGATATTTACTGTACAGTAAATGCATTTCTTAATATTTCTATAGACTTCACTCTTGGAATATTTCCTTCAGCAAGATAATCAACTAAAATGAGGAAATTAAGGAAAGATACTTGAGCTGCCACCATCTGCATTTTTGCTTGAGAGGATAAGTTGCATCCTGATTTTTTTAATTCTGAAACTGCTGAATTTGCAAGTGACTGTTTTTCATTCTATGGCCAGGGACTCATTCAATATACTCATCTTCTTTTGATATAGTTTCAAGAAATAAACTCGCCATGTCAGTAATGATGAGCCTAACCCTCACCTACAAAAGTTGTGCTAGGATGACACTTAAATGCCAGATATTAATGTACAGTGTGCCTGTCAGCACTGTGGAGGTGCTGTGACTAGCTGCCACATATCAGATTCTGAATCACATAGAAACCAATGTACATGCAGTCACTGTGAAGGCCTGTGTACTGCAAAGTATTTTCAAGATCTTTAAAACTTAACAGCAAGGGGACAATCTGAATATCCAGGGGAGGGAGGGAGGTATTGCCCAAAGGGCATGACCATGGGGTCCCTAAGGATTCCCTTGGCTGTGGAACCATCAACAAGCTTGCTGTCACTGGGCACGTAGTTTTCATTGGGAACAGGTGGTCCCATATATATGAAGGCCCTAATCCATTTAGGACTTTAAAGATGACTACTGGAATCGTGAATTGTAAAACATTCAATGTAGCTTCTATAATAGTGACGTTACATAGGTGAACAGAGGCATGCCTATAACTAGCTCTTGAGTTACTCTGATCTCCAGTTAATGCATACATTTAATTTAAAATGAATGTAGATTTATAGAAACATGTAAAATATTCTAAGTAATCTAATATGTGTTTATTTTTAAGATTTTACATTATTTTAAGCAGGACACTTCTGAAATTATTGTCAACGTACATCTGCAGGCATCTGGTATTTATGCTACTTTTGTGAAAAAATGTTTGCAAAGCTTGCTCCGTATTGGTTTCAGGAAATTACTGAAGAGATTATACTGAAAGAGAGCATTTTCTGTCTCATCTGCAGTACCAAAAATACTGCTAAGAATTGCCCTAAGTTCAATTAGTTTGGTTTGATATTTCTTATTCGCTTTATTTTTTTGATTATAGCTAAAATTAAATAATCCTTTTTAAAGAGAAAAAAAAATACTTACATCTAGTAATGTATGAAGATGCTGATCCTGAAAAACACTATGCAGAAAGTCTAAGTCTTTTTCACTGCAATCTGTAAGTGCATGAATTTCTTCTAGGCTGTCTAACACCTGTGAAACTGCTCCTATTATTAAGCACAGGGAGAAAGAAGAAAGAAAAATATTTAGGACAAATCATCATGTTGATCATATTTCATTGAATAAAATATGAATCTTTAATAATGCAGTCTTGTTTTCAATGAGGGTAATATTTAAAGAGCAATGTGTGAAATAAATTTAATTTTCGCTTTTAAACAAAAAAAAATATGTTCAAAGGATAATGTTTAGTGCCTGCCAATTGTAGAATGGATGACCTTGAATATGTAGATGATTTTAAAGAAAGAATTCAACAACCATTATGAAAACATCAGCTTGGTTCAGACAGACAGACAGGAGGGGCTGAGGAAGAAGCTCAGATTGCCCTACCTTGATTCTCTTTATTATAAGAGAATATAATTTTTGTCAGACTTTCAAGATTCTGTTATTATATCCCATAATAATAAAGCAGAGTTTGGTACTTTTACAGTGTCTTTTTCCTGATTTCAAAGCTCTGACATCATATTTTGAATGTGATTGTATCTTTTTGAATAAAAATGCTATAAAAATGAGGCAGAAAATTAGCAGTATCATGTACACACACATTTAAACACGTTGCAAAACAAAACAAAAGCATCCCCTTGAAAAATTTTCAGGAGAGAATTCTTAATTTATAAATCCTAATTATAAAACCAGGAGCTAGAAATTAACTTAGAAAACTAATCTGACTCTGCAAACAATTTCATGTTGCATGACTGTATAATAAACCTACTGATGCTGATTATATCAATTTGGGCGTTCCAGATAGTAAAAACTGTGAAAACAGACCATAATTGGGGAAATTTCTCAATCTTATCTGAGAGATATTAATTTCAAAAACTTCAGAGAAAAGTTGAACTATACAATTTTTGAAGGAAAATACAAATTCAGAAGGATAGATGAGTCAGAAAACAGAGACATAATTGAAAAAAATATATATTTAAAGTTAATAAAGGGAATCTACACAAAACAATATGGCTATACCAGGAAGTTTCTAATGCGGTATGACTTAATTCTAAAGCTCAAAACAAAACTTTGTTATATTAGGAGCCAAAACATTATCAAAGATAACTTAGGACCAATGTATATAATTATTAGAGTAATATACAGATTATTTTAAAAATAAATCTGCTTTTTTAGTTATTACGATTATCAATGGTTTCAATGTGATTAAGCTTCTCTTCTGAAATGGGTTTAAAAAAATGGGGATTCAACAAGTACCGGTAGTTGTTAAAAGGGGAAGGTAATTTTGCAATAACTGAAATTATTGTAAAGAAAAAAACTTCTTATATATTCAATATGGCTTAAATGAAATCAATTTTGATTATGATTAAAAGTTTAATGTCTTGGTTAACAGAAAAATACAAATTCAAGTGATGTCTGAGACCTGTAATATAACAACAGGTTTTTCAATCCTATAGGGAGAAGCATCTGTGAATTTCTCTGTGTGTTTTGCCTACCCTACAAGGAGACTTCAATAAGGATTAGTTGAAATAATGGTAAAAGTGTGACTTGAAGCCCAGGATAAAGAAGATAATTAACAAACAACTTACTCTTTTAAATGAGTTTAAGTATCTAAGTGAAAATATTTTCATTTTTTCCCCATACTCATAAACTGTAATTTTGAGACATTCGAGAGAATGCAAGACTGCTAAAATAATGGAAATGATGTCCTTATACTTAGAAAACAGGGAAAAGAAAATCCACAAAACTGGATGTAATATTATACTAAACCAAACAGGTTAAATGAGTTTTTATAAAACAAGACAAAACAGATTGATAAGGAGTAAATAATATCAAGTCAACCTTATTTCATCTTTTTTTTGTAAGCATCACTGCGTTATAGAAATACTATCTTTTTCACAAGATTTCCTAACATTTTTCCTTAGATGTATCAAATTAATTGGGCAGTTGTATTCAATTACAGTAATGCTTAGTAATACCTCTGAACAGAGGTTTCAAACAGAATATATTATGAATTGCATGTCGACAGTGAAGAAACAAAGAACTGTTCTGAGATCTCAAATGGAAGACATATTGCCCATTTAAATAGAGATGATTCATATACTTCTGATGTAAAAATTGGTTGAGGAATAAATGTTGAAGATAGATCTTGCTAATATCCATGCCACTCATATAAAAGTTATTCATTCAAGACTATTATTAGATTTTTACAGACATGGAGATTTAACATCAGTAATATGCCTTTTCTGACTGTAACTATTTTATTTTATGGTCAGTATATTTGAGTATATGTTTGAATGTGTCTCAGTTATGATCCTCTTGTTTCATCAAAGATCAAAGTCAGATCAAGGATATTTTAGATAGATATTGCACAATCTCTAGCATTACTGGTCAGTAATAAAAATTGAAGAATACTAATATATTTAATGAAGCCTTTTAATTACATTTTGGCAAGAAAGCAAGTTAACTAACAGATGCATTAAATCATGAAATTATAAACACCAGAAAGTAATGCTCAGTTGTTAATTTTTGCATATAAATACATTTATACAGGTTTTTGGGTTGTGTGAGTCTGTTCTTTTATCTATTTATTTATATAGTGTTCTTATTTGTACAAATAACTCAATGCAACAAACATACCCAATACATCTTCCTCATCCTATTTTCCCCACAACATCAATCCTGTGAGGTAGGTTAGCTTGAGAGAGCGTGACTGACTTAAACTCACCCAGCTGGCTTTCATGGCTAAGGCGGGACTTGAACTTATGCTCTCCTGCTTTCTAGCATGGTGCCTTAACTTTTTTGTCATTTTTGCCATCTTTTACTTCTTTATTTTGCCCAGAGTCTCTGGGCAAATGATATATAAATTTTATAAAAACACATAAAAATTGGGAGTTTCTATGAAAGTTACTCTCTAGTCAATGATATGTATGTAGTAATTAAATATTTATATAATACTAATAATTAGAATTCAATGACAATTCCAATTTCTTTTAACTAGATCCACTGAATAACTTCACAATATGCAAAAAATGTCAAAGTAACATTTGACATTTATATTCCCTAAATCTCAAGATATGGATTATCAGAATATAAACTAGATATGTATATGGCTAGAAAAACAAGACTATTTTCCATAAAGATTTATACTTTTCTTTCTGGTGCCCTTAAAGATAGATACTTTTAAGAGAATCTATCATGAACAGATGTTGCAACCTTATTTGAAAAAGAATTCTTCCCTCAAATTAAACTTTTAAAACAAATAATTTTTACTGTACAGGTAGTCCTCAACTTACAACAGTTCATTTAGTGACCAAAGTCACAACGGCATTGAAAAAAGTGACATATTACTGTTGCAACATCCCCATGGTCATGTGATCAAAATTTGGATGCTTGGTAACTAGTTCATATTTATGACAGTTGCAGTGTCCCGGGATCATATAATGAGCTTTTGCGATTTTCTGGCAAGCAAAATCAATGGGAAAGTCAGATCCACTTAACAACAATGTTGCTAACTTAACAACTGCAATGATTCACTTAACAACTGTGGCAAGAAATGGGGCAAAACTTATTTAACAAATGTCTCACTTAGCAACATAAATTTTGGGCTCAATTTTGGTCGTAAGTTGAGGAGTACCTGTATTCATCTTCTACCATGTTCTTTAATTGCTTAGATAGTATTAAAACTAGGATATGTTAAGCAAGGAAAAATCATGATTTAATTATGCAAAGCCAAACATAATAGCTAAATGCATAGCTTTAGAGGAAAACAAAGGATACCTACTTTCTGCAGCTAGAAGTCCTAGCAGGAAGGCAGCATTTGGACAAACAACAAATAGTATGAGGATTTCAAAACAATTGTAAAAGCTGCAACTAGGAGCATTAGCACAGCCGCAAAACACACACAGAAAAAACAAAAACAAAATAAAAACCTTCCATACCTTACTAAATTAAAAAAATACAGTATATGACAAGGATTTACATTATATTTTCATAGTGCTGCACATCCAACTTTTTAGTAATTATTAGTTCTGAAATTTAAGGAAGTACAAAATACTTACTGCTTATGACATTATGTTTAAGTGAGGAAGCTCACTGATTTGTTATATAAACTGTTAACACAAATATATCAGATGTATATATTTTTAATAAATATAGGTTGCAATTGTTAATAACTGTACTGAGGTCAATCTATTAAAATCAACAGTTATATATGAATAAGGCTGTGAAATTAAAGTTGGATTAATCATATATTTAATATTCTCAATTAACAATTAAAAATCAACACTGCTTTTATTAAATTTGAAATTAAATTTCATGTTCTAAAAAACAAGTAGTGATAACCCCAGTAAACTTATGATAGCATTGTCATGGTTGGTAAATAGTAATTGCAGTACTGTGAATATAGTGTATGTATTCAGGTACAATATCGGAACTACAATGTGATGCAACCAACCAATTTTATTGTAATTATAGGAATATTATTTCATATATATATGAATTGCCACCTTGAACTTCATACCTATAGCTTATTTTTCACATGTTTACTATCAGTTAAAAGTTAACTAAATTCTATTCTTACAAAATAAAATGTTCTTCTTTCATTTCAGAAGCAAAGTACTATAAATATATATACATTTATGCAAAATAAACAGATAAAATAAAACCATAAATATAGCTAAATAAATACTGAATCCATTAATATTTTCAGTAGCACTTATATCCTCTTCTAATTTCTTTAGAAAATGTTAAAATTTAAATGTCAACCGTTAACAGTAAATTCACAAGCAAAAAGGAGCTATACAGTACTTGTCTTTTCTTAAAATTATAACATTCGTTTACAGAAATTCTTCATGGATTGTAGGGCTGCATATTTTTACACTATATATAAAAATAGTAGTTAACAATTCTAATAATGTAATTATTTTACATAAAAACGAAACATTTCACTCACTATAAAATAGGACTTTTCTTTAGCATTCCCTCCCAAAGATATTTTCTTTTTACTCCATACTAGATAATCAGAAATTAGGAGATAAAAACATAT